TCAAATTACCTGCACCATACACTGGTTTGGCTAGTTATACTACTGCTGCAATCACCTTTGGATTGGTAGTTCAGTTTGATGCATCCTTCTTTTTAAATGGATATAGGCTAGAGACATGGCTCTGTATAGAAGATTCTTTACTTTAACTTTCTATTGTTTTTGGTTTCATGGAATTCTTTAATGTTTTCATGAAATGTCTACTTTCACAATAGGACAAACATACCAAATTCAAAAAAATCGTTCCATATTTACATTTTATTTTGCTCCTTGTATTTTGTGACCTGTAACTACAGCAACTAGACTGAAATCCTATACATGCACATGACTGCTGACCCACAAACCCATCCATTGCCCAATAAACACACGACACCTGTATAATGGATAAGGGCAACGGCCACAGATTTATTTAACAATTTGAACCAGCATTAATACCAACTGTCAGCTGATGGGTGATTCTTCCACCAGACAGATCTCCCATCCTTTTACCAGAGTCCAAAGCAACCTGCCTTCCACCTTCAGCCCAAGCAGGCTACGACTGCCCAATCCGACTTGGCACTTGCCTTCCCATGCGCTGGCCTGTTATTCCGCGACCGTGATGCTGGCCTCCTTCGCCCTCCCCCGGCATCGCACCCCCTGCCGCCAGCGAATTCTCAGTCCCTTCTTGTATTCCAACATTGAAAATATCCAAACCTATTAGACTTAAATGGACCCCATTGGACCGCATCAACCTGCTGTTGTCCCCTTCTAACTCCACATGCTGGACCACGATGCCTCCAAGCTGACGAACAAACCTCAACACCGTTATATTCAGCTTGTGCCTGCTGCGCTCCAGCCCTTTTGCATATGGCAACAGCTGCCAACAGGGCCTAGGGATCACCTCTGACCACACCAAAGTCACATCCCAAAACAGCAACATGCAACGGGCGATATCATCCTTCATGTCATGAATTAGATCCACTGTCCAGACCCGGCCCAGGTCATTAACTCCCGCATGAATGACCAATATAACTGAACTGAGAACAAACCTGCTCAGGAAACGGCACTCTGGATACACCTGGCTCCATGACAACCCCCGAATGCCCCTCCATTGGACCCGAGCTTGGTCGTATGAAAACTCCAGGTTGCAGCCTGAAGAGTGCTCCTCCACCCGCCTCGCTGCCCAGTAAATGTAGGAATGCCCTAATATCCATACGTAATGGGTAGAAGAACCTAGAAACGAACAAACAGAAACTGAAGACTAGGAAGGAACTGCTGCCCACCGCAAATAACTAAATACTATTATAGGTGAGGCCGTACATACAACTGGAACCTCCAAGACCTCCACCAACGTAATTTTTGAACCGCTGCCAATGAAAAACCCATCCCACTAGCCTGCGTAGCTGCCCCAATCCGGAAGGAGTGGGCAGAGTACCCCTGCAGGCTCCTGCCGCTCGCCACAAGGGATTCACGCAAGGCCTTGCCAAATTGGTATTGCGTCATCGGCGACCCGTCACGATGCACCAGCAGAAAACCCACCCCTGCAGGGCAGGCAACCAAGAATCTCTGAAAAAGGCTGCCCAATCCGCACCCACACTCCTTCGCCCATTTGATCCGTCTTGGACTTACGGATTTTTATGTCTAGCCCCTTAGTTGCCCATCGCACATCCGACAACAGCGGCAGCTCCACCCGACGGCTCGCGGCCACCTCCTCCCCGAACCGCAATACCCCGAAAAAGTACAAAGAAAAAGTGACCCCGAACGACAACGCGTCATACTCCGAGCTACACACCCCCCGCAGCGCCGCCAGGAGCTCCCACAGAAATAGGCCGCCTCTGATCCGGGATAATCATACGTCGCCACCCCCGCAGGACTCTCTGAATGCTAAATTCCCTGGTAATGTCCCTCCAACCCAGGAACCTTAACAAAAAAGACAGGGTTGACAGGGCCTTCTCCACTGTGGCACATGACTGCCCTTCCTCCAACAATTTGTCCAAAAACAGTAGGGTTACCTCAAAGCGCCCCGAGTCCGACGCTAGGCTACTTTCTCCCGACACCAACCTGAGCCACTTCGACCCGGTATGCCTTCCACGAGGATTCCAAAAACTACTCCATCACCAGCCCCATCAATGTTCGGAACCGAGCTCCCATAAAAACTGTAGGCAAGGCTGCCCCACCTGGTCCGCCTCCGGTGCCGCCGAAACCGAGAAGGCGCATCAGCCACGATATTTTGCACTCCCGGAACATGACATGCCCTAACCCACACATTATGCTACAAACTCAACAGGACCAAGCGCCTCAGCAACGCCAACACCTGCAGCGATGCTGAAGACGCCCGATTTATCACATGGACAACACTCATGTTATCCGTGTGGAAATCAACCATTCGGTCCCGCAAATCCTGGTCCCACATCTCCATGGCAACTACAATCGGGGAGAGCTCCAGGAAGGTCAGATTGCACATGAGAGCCTTACCTTGCCAACTCTCTGGAAAGGCCTCCGCACACCACCGGCCCCGGAAGTATGACCTGAAGCCGAGAGAGCCGGACGCACCCATGAAGAGTTCCAACACCGAGTTACATAGACAACACGACCGGCCATTGTACTTCTCCAGGAAGGAACTCCACACTTGCAAATCGGCTTTGAGATTTTTGGTCACCCGTATAAAATGATACGGTTCCCGAATCCCCACCGTCGCCAAGGATAGCTGGCGACAAAAAGCCTGACCCATCGGCAAGACCCGACATGCGAATGCCTGGTGACCCATCAGCACCTGCATCTGGCTCAACTGCATTTTTTTCACTAATTTTACCAGGTCCACCCACCGAAACAGGACAGGGACCTTGTCGTCAGGCAATCGAAAAATCATGTTGGCGGAATCAATTTCCACCCCAAGGAACGACAGCACCTCAGTTGGGCTCTCAGTGTTCTGTTCCGGGACCGGCATGCCAAACTCCACCGCCATTTCCCGAAAAACCAGCAGAAGGTCCCCACATACCCCAGCCCCCCGCTTGCCCACAAACAAAAAATCATTTAAATAATGTGTCACTGAACCGTAACCCGAAACTCTAATCTTCTCACGCGTCTCACTAGGGACGTGAATGCCCAGAGGAGCCAACTCACACCCAGGTATGCTGGGAAGAAAAATGCTCTGAGGAGCCGCAGGAGCGGGCCCTGTCACCAGGGCCGCCATCAGAAAATTTGGGGCCCATGACAAAGCACAAGGTCTGCCCCCCCCCCCTCCTCGCGGGCCCGCCCACGCCCTACCTAGTCCACTCACAATGATGCAGGACTGAATGTGGTGTGTGTATAGTGGAAGTGAATTAGAATGTGTGTAATGGATGTAGTGTTTGTGTGTATTAGATACTGTTTGTGCAATGAATGCAGAGTGTGTGTTTGTGTAGCGGATGCAGTGTGTATAGTGAACGCAGAGTGTTTTTGAGTAGTGGATGTAGTGTGTGTACAGTGATGTAGTGTGTGTTTGTGTAGTGGATGTAGTGTTTGTATGTACTAGATGAAATGTGTTTAGTGGATGCAGTGTCTGTAGTGTGTGTATTAGACGCAGTGTCTGTGTATAGTGAATGCAGAGTGTTTCAATTTGTGGTGGATGTAGTGTGTGTACTGTGAATACAGGATGTTTGTGTAGTGGATGCTGTGTGTACAGTTAATGCAGAGTGTATGTTAGTGTAGTGAATGCAGAGTGTGTGTCAGTATAGTGAATCCAGAGTGTGTGCATAGTTTAGTGAATGCAGAGTGTGTTAGTGTGTAATGAATGCAGAGTGTATGTTAGTGTGTAGTGAATGCAGAGTGTGTCAGTGTAATGAATGTAGTGTGTGTGTTAGTGCAGTGAATGCAGTGTGTGTAAATTTGTAGTGAATGCAGAGAGTGTGTTAGTATGTAGCGGATGCAGAGTGTGTGTGTTAGTGTATGCAGTGTGTGTGTTAGTGTATCCAGTGTTTGTGTTGTGTTAGTGTATGCAGTGTGTGTGTTGTGTCAGTGAATGCAGTGTGTGTTGTGTCAGTGAATGCAGTGTGTGTTGTGTCAGTGAATGCAGTGTGTGTTGTGTCAGTGAATGCAGTGTGTGTGTTGTGTTAGTGAATGCAGTGTGTGTTGTGTTAGTGTATGCAGTGTGTGTGTTGTGTCAGTGTATGCAGTGTGTGTTGTGTTAGTGTATGCAGTGTGTGTGTTGTGTTAGTGTATGCAGTGTGTGTGTTGTGTTAGTGTATGCAGTGTATGTGTGTGTGTGTTGTGTTAGTGTATGCAGTGTGTGTTGTGTTAGTGTATGTGTGTGTGTGTTGTGTTAGTGTATGCAGTGTGTGTTGTGTTAGTGTATGCAGTGTGTAAATGTGTGATCTGGGGGGGGAGGGGGAGGAAGGGGCATTTTAACATTAATTTTTAATTAATTGAATTAAATGTTTCTCCCCCCTCCCTGCTTACCTGTGTCCATGGAGGGGGGAGATTCCATTCCTGGTGGTCCGGTGGGGGCCCCCCGCTCCCTGTTACCGCAGAGGGGGCCCAGCCAGGCAGCACACAGCTTCTCTTCCTCTCTTCTCATAACTCTCGCGAGACCCGGTTGCCATGGCAACACTCCGCGGGTCTCGCGAGAGTTATGAGAAGAGAGGAGGAGAAGCTGTGTGCTTCCTGGCTGGGCCCCCTCTGCGGTAACAGAGAGCCGGGGGCCCGCGGCTGCACACATAGATCGCGATATGCGCTATCTATGTGTGCAGAAAGGGAAAGTGGGGCCCAGGACTGCCAGAGCAGTCCGGGCCCCCCAGGGCCGCCGGGCCCGTGACAACTGTCACGGTTGTCACCCCCTGATGGCGGCCCTGCCTGTCACAGGCGCCCCCGTGCTGTCACTGGCAACCCTGCCACTAAAGCCCTGAGCAAGCGCAAAACTTCCCCTTGTGACTCCCTGTAACCCCCTAGACTGATACCCAAACTACCCCACGCACCTGTGCAGACTGATTCACCGGACACAGGAAGGCTGCCAGGCACCCGGTCCTCCAGCTGCTCCTCTTGCTCCTCTAAACTGGACTCCTCTCCCATGGCTGGTTCTTCCTCTGCACACAGCAGACCTCTCCACAGGCCGCCATCCTCCGCCTCTTGCGGCCGACCACTACCTTGGCCGCCATCACCCGACCGTGCACGCGGCTGCCTACCCTCCACGACTCCCGGCGCTTTTCTCCGGACCGGTTTGCCAGGTTCAAAGATGGCAGGGCCTGTGACGTCGGCACGCTCCGGCACACTGACGTCACGTACGCGGCCCGCGTTGCCTCCACTGACGTTCGTCTTCCCGCATGGCCGGCGCACTCTGTCAGTTCCTGTCTCACCAGAAGAGAAGCTTGACTCCTGGAGCGCGCTGTTCTTCTGCAGCCATCTTGATCCCGCCGACCGTCCTCCATCTCAGGCCACAGCTGCCCACCAGCAGCCCGAGTAAGTAAGGGGACACCTCCAGCCGATCCGCCTGCTCCGTCCACACCGGTCCCTCTCCGCCGCACTGGGCTGGGGGAAATGCGTGTAGGAGGCCTGGATCGCCTAGGCCTCTTACTGCCATTATGCATCTGTCCGGGCTCCCCCACCGCTTCACCATCGCTGGTCCCCTGTAGGTCGTCCATCACCAACGACCCCCGAGTCATTCGCCTCCAGCATGTCCCTCAGTGCCTCCCTCAAAACTTCCGCCATAGCCAGGGATGCTGTACAACTGGAAATGGTGAGTAAGAATGTCTTTGCTGATTAATATGCTCTTTCGTTTGTGTGCTTTTCTTTTTTTTTTTGGAAGGTGTTGGAAATTTAACATAAAAGCTCCTGCTAGTTATCCTCCTTCATTCTGAGTGGCCAGGGCCCACCCCCAGTCTCCCTTATATACAGCTTCCCTCTTGCTACATATGTAACCCCTTTTATCCATCCCCCATTCCTGGGCAGCAGTCATGTGTTTTCTTTCCTTAGGCAGTCCATGGAAACCCGCTCTGTATATAAGGATAATTAAATTTAAAAAAATTGATTTACTTTGCCGGGGGAGTGCTCCTGAAGAGGATCGCGGCGGAGGTGAGTACTGCAGACCTCCAGGGGCTCAAAGCCGTTACGGCGTTCTATGCCGCCGCAACGGCTTTAAAGCCCACTTAATGCGGGTCGGCATAGAACGCCGTAACGGCGTTAACGGGTTAATATAAAAAAAATACAGTAGCCACTTAGTCACAAACACTGGCCAAATATTAATTTTTTGCACACAAAAACAAATATGAACGCTAACTTTGGCCAATGTTTGTGACTAAGTGGCTACTAAAAAAAAAAAAAAACTAAACATACCCCATTTTCAATACCTTGGGTTGTCTACTTTTTCAAATGGTATGCCATTATGGGGGTAATTCTCATTTCTGGGTTACCACACCGTCTCAAAGGTAACATTACTAATCTGGCAAATTTCAATTTGAAAATGGAACGTTCTATATATTACCCTGTAACTTTCCAAAACACCATAAAACCTGTTAATGGGGGGTACTGCTGTACTCGTGAGACTTCGCGGATTACAAATATGTGCATTTTTTTGCAGTAAAGCCTAACAGCATTATGACATTCACAGCTAAAATGTCAGACGGAAATACAAATTAAAAAAAAATAAAATCTTATTTTCTCACTTTTTTTAAATTTTATTCATAATAAATTATGTTCCATATATGAATAGTTAATGATAAATTAAAGCCCTGTTTCTCCTGAACAAAATTATATATAATAAGTGTGGGTGCACTTAATGTGACAGCGGTGAATTACGATTGAACAGACATTTAGCGCAAATTCCAGTTTTTGTTTACGTTTTGATCAGAACGTGCACTATTGACTCCATCCTGAAGGGGTTAAATAAGTGTTTATATATGAATATGTCCTAATAAATGTAAGTCCTTTTTTTCCTTTAAAAAAAAAAAAAAAAAAAAGTATATAATGTGTGTTGGTGGAGTAAATGAAAATGATGCACTAAGGTAGCCTTCTTGGCCCCCTTCTGAGCCACAATCATACTGAGCTGGATAACACGGCATTTGCAGGTCGCAACATTGTAGGGCACCTTATAAGTTCAGCCGGCAGTGGGTTGCTGATCCCTACCCAAGGTAATGTGCAAGCTCACCAAAACAGAGCTCATGACAATACTGAATTACTGTATTATTAACATATTGTGCACATTCAAAGAGTTGGGTATGTTGTGTAAATCCGTTTGTAAAAATATAAACACAGGGCCCCAGTGGGGAAGTGGGATCCCACTTTTACAATATAAAATATAGTTTTAATATATTAAAGCCTCAGACAAAACTTGAATTCACCTTTTATATATGTACCCTTTCCTATGTCCTCTATCCCTAATAAACATTATATAGCTATTTAAATTAAATAGCCAGTCGTGCATTTCATCCCATCAAGTTTCTGCAATACCAATTATGTTATACTATTTATTACATGTCAATAACTCTAGCTGCGGCATTTTGTTAAATCAAGCTTCTGGAGTCTGCAAGCAGGCATTTACGGTTACAATCAATCTTTAGCATTTTATTTAAAACTACTTTTAAAGGAATCTCTTTATCATCTGTGCTATTACTACCACTTTATTCACCACCTTTACGAAAAACAAATAAACAAACAAACACAAACATGTTTCCAGGCTACATTAGCTAATCCTTTAGATATTTATCATTATCACTAAATATTAGTTTTGAATCTGTAATACCCATGGTATTGCAAATCTGTGACTATCAACCTTTATTTTTCATTTAATTTGCATTTACAATATAAATAATGCAAATTTTATTTTCCTAGGAAGCCTGATGTTTCGGACTTAGATATCCTTACCCATATGTAGGACATTAAATGTTATTTAACCTAGTTAAAAAGCCCACAATTCCAATCAAAAAGATAATTGAATTAATAGGTTCACCCCTGAAGGCAAGTATTGTTTCAAGACTTAAATATGTACACAACTTCAAGTGCAAGACATAGATAAGTTTGGGGCCAAGGCTGATATAGACATAAATTGCATCAATAATAATATTACAAAAACAAAAATTAAGATAATTAAAATAAATTAAGTAAGTTACATATTTCTCACCTGCCACGTAACCAAAAATGTCTGGCTACAGGCAGGGGCGTACCTAGAGCATTTGGCACCCGGGGCGGATCCTGTGCTTGGCACCCCCCCCCCACCCCCAAAAAAAAAAAAACCTGTAAAAAATGTTAAAGGTTTTATTTCTTTTATTTTTACAATTTGTAAACTTTGCAAAACCGCTGTCAGCCCCTCCTACAAAACCCTTGTCCTGCCCTGCCCCTCCTACAAAACCTCTGTCCTGCCCCTTCTACAAATCCTGTACTGCCCCATCTACAAAACCCCCGCAACCCCCTTCCACAAATCCCCTGCTTATCCCCCTTATAAAGACTCCTGTCCCAATACAAAACCCCCACCCCCTTCTACAAAATCCCTGCAGCCCCACACACACATTTACAGACAGACAGTCACACACTCAGTTACAGACACAGTCACACACTCAGTTACAGACAGACAGTCACACACTCAGTTACAGACACAGTCACACACTCAGTTACAGGCAGACAGTCACACACAGTCACAGGCAGACAGTCACACATACACATTTCCTCCGTGCGGCCAGTTTATCAGCTGTTTGCTTGAGTGAGCTGTACTGGCCGCACGGCACCCTAACTACCATGGGACACTGTGCGGCCACAGCTCACACAGCCCCCTCCAGCCAGGGCCGGTACAAGGATTTTTGCCGCCCAAGGCAAAAGTAAAGTTTGCCGCCCCCATGTGACATCACAATGCCCCAGCCATATGATTTGCCATGTTAACTAACGCCAGTGCTGCAGTGCCGCCGTGTTTACATTAAAAGGCCTGCAGGGACAGGCTATAGACACCAGAACCACTACATTAAGCTGAAGTGGTTCTGGGGACTATAGTGTTTCTTTAATGTGAGGTAAATTAGAGCTTAGTGCCACGAATAATATACTAGATTGCCTACTTACAACCAGATGAGGATGATGATGGGCTCTAGCTGCAGTCTGGCTCCACTGGTCTGGTGCAGAACAGGCTCTCTGGAGGCGGTTTGTAACTGTGGTCACAAAAATCAATGTTCTGGGAGAACGGGAAGCAGCTCCATTTTTTGGGGGTCCTTTACACAGCTCAAGGTCTGGGTCCCAGGGTCCACCTTCATGTTCCACCAATGAGTTTGTTCACAGGGGGTGGAGTGTGTAGGGGATGTCCTGATATGTGTGTAAGGAATGCATTGTGTGAAATTGTGTTTGTATGTGTAAGGGCTGCAAGGTGTGTTTCTGTGTATGTATGGGATGCATTGAATGTGTGTAAGGGGTGCATTGAGTGTGTGTAATGAATGCATTGTGTGTTTCTGTGTGTGTAAGGGATGCATTGTGTGTAACGGTTGCATTGCTTGTGTATGTGTGTGTGTGTTTTTCTGTGTGCAAGGGGTGCATTGTGTGTATGTGATGAATGTCAATCTCACCCCCTTATTTCTCTTTCTCACCCCCTATTTCTCTTCTCACCCCCTTATTTCTCTTCCCACTTATTTCTCTCTCTTATTTCTTCTTTCTCACCCCTCTCTCACCCCCTTATTTCTCTTTCTCACCCCCCCCCTTCTTTCTCACCCCTCCTCTCCCCCTTCTTTCTCCCCCTCCCCCCTACCTCCCTGTAGCGTGGCCGAGCCCTGTATAGTCCACGGGTACAGGGAGCTTTTGTTTCCTGTACCCGGCCGGACTAACAGGAAGTGCACACTCAGTGTTCCCTTCCTGTTAGTCCGGCCGGGTACAGGAGACAGCTGCTCTCTGTACCTGTCGGACCATGCTGCAGTGAGGGAGCTGACAGGAGCGTTCCCTCCTGTCAGCCCCTCTCCTCAGGTTGCGTCCGGGCGGTGCGGTCCGCCCTCATGGACGCACCGCCCGGGCAAAGCTGCAGCCGCCTGAGGCTCAATACAGAGCGCTCGGGCGGCTGCAGCATGGGGGGGGGCGGGGCTGGCCATAGCACCCCCCACCCTGCTGGCACCCGGGGCGGACCGCCCCCCCGCCCCCCACTTAGTACGCCACTGGCTACAGGGAACTTTTTCGAAAAATATCTGGGTACTGGCATCAATTGCATCTTCTTCCCTATCCTGCAGTCTCCCACAGAGCCCCTGATGCCATCCACTGTATTCCCCAACCCCTTCTATGATGCAGCGCCCATGCACCGATGTCATGACCTCAGTGGTGTGGCTTTGCTTCATATTTAACCCCTTAAGGACTGGACTGTTTTTGCGATGTTGTACATTTGCGACCAGGCCTCTTTTTACACTTTTGCGGTGTTTGTGTTTGGCTGTAATTTTCCGCTCTCACATTTACTGTTCCCATACAAATTATTTTTTTT